GTTCATGCAACATAGTCAACAAATGATGGGAAATTCTATACTCCCATTCCGACTTCATCAGCTTTTGAAAGCTCTTGATATTCTTTGCAGCAGATTTATCTTTAGCATGCAAAGCCTGACCCATCAAAATCGCTGCACATTTTTTAATAGAATAACCCACTTCAAGGACCAGAGATGGTATTCGCACGTCTGCTTTACCAGATTTCTTGTTGAACCCAAAAATTTTTCTCACTGTTTGGACTACCATTTCAAATTTCTCAGGCTTAATAAAATCATATAACTGAATTTTGGTACTGGCACCATTGTCCATCAGTCCTTCTACCAAACGACCAAGCTCTCATTTTTTTGGAGATAAAATTGCCATCTCTTTCGCCATCCTTTTCGATCATCATTGCACCAAAAGCCTTGATGGGGTCATATTTTTTAACAATGTTGGAAATTGCATTGTTCTTCATGAAGGAGATGATTCAACTTCTCGTTGTCGCTACCAATTAATACTGGCGCCAAGAGGAGTTTTGCTTTGAGTTGTACCTGCTTGCTCTTTTGATTTTATTGGGACTTTCTTTCCTGTATTCACACGATTGTTGGTGTTTTCATAAATCCCATTTCTTCATGAACCCAAGGCAAAACTTGCAGGGCAGAAAGTCGTGGATGCTGACGGTTTCGTCTTTTCCAGGGCTTCTTACAACAATCATCTTCCCATCGCCAGTTTTCAAAGTTGTCATGCTGTGGTGATACTCACCCTTCGGACGAAGCTTTGTCAAATGCTTTTCCTTTCAGCTCCATTTTCCAGTAGGACAAGACTTCCACCACTTCTTCCTCATCTTTATGCTTGCTGATCAAATGTCAGGTAATTTTGGTGCACAGTTAGTTGCCCACAGTAAAAGCATGCATGCCTACAGTCATAAATCCGAACATGGTCCTTCCTCTTCTGTGCCATTTTTATGTAAGCGGAAAAAAACACAAAGTTTTTAAGTATGCATATATAATTTCTATTCCTAATTTATCTTATTCATAAAAAGACTTCATCTTCAACGATTAATAATTAATTCTTCCACATTCCACATTCCAATAATTAATGCGTCCACAGAATACCACTGCATGCTCATGTACAGATATTATGAACTTTGCATATTCATAGGCCCATTGTGCTAGTTAAGGGACTGATCGTTTATTACATCTCAGGGTGGTGCGGTGGTTTTGAAAAAATAAGCCAATAAAAAGAGCACCCCCCCCACAAAATGTTCTAATGAAAAAAATATCCCCTTGGGGCATGTATTTAATGACATCGGTAAAATGATTGGGTACTACTCATGATTTATTAGACAAAATGGCGGAAAATCCAAATAGAAGAAATGATTTCTTCCTGAACTGGCAGGAGAATAGATTAAACGTATGGCAGAAATCAACAAAAATCAGATACTTACGATCACTCTACAGACTCTCACCAACAACAACGATGTTTTGCTTATGCTGGATTGTTTCGTTCGAGCAACAAACACAAGGTATTGAGGAACATATAAATCAAATTCAAAGCATATAATTTATAAATAATTAAATATGTTACACACATAACTCATTTCTTATAGTTGGATGGCAAGTACTTTGTCCGTTTTTAAAAATAATAAATCTAAGCTGTTTTGATGTTTTAATATTTATACAAAACATTAAGTTTTAATATTACAATACCTTTTTTGTGTACAAAAGGACAAACAAGAACAACGTAGCACATGCTTTGAAATTGGTGCAAGAATTGTTGATGTGTAACTCAGTCAACTTCCGTCAACGCATCGATTTTCTCAATTTTTTTCCCACCTTCAATCGATTCGCATTAATGTCGTTTAGCAAACATAATCAACTAATATTAATATCACGCGTAAGTATTATTACACCTCTAAGCACTGAACCCGCAGCGCACTCTTTTTTGACATTAATCACATTTTTTTGTCTGCAAATACACTGGAATGCCATCGTCACCCATCAACGCATCGGTTTTCTTTTCTCCTCACCTTTGAATCGCATTAATCTCGTTTGGCAAACATAATGAACTCATATTAATTAGTATCATAACCCGCGGCGCGCTCTTTTTTGACACCCGGCTAATCGCAATTTTTTCGTCTACACATACACTGGAATGCCATCCACACCCATCAATTAATACACTGTCTTATTCTTATTCACCTTCATGACAAATCGTTTAATCACCTGCAATAATTTCATATTCATTTTGCAAAAAAGCATCAAACCAGCGCTTCACTTGAATTGCAATGCGAGATTTACTAAACAGTTTTATTTCATCACGTCAGTGATATCCGTCAACGCATCGGTTTGGCTCAGGTTTTTTCCCACGTTTAAATCGCATTAATCTCGCTTGGCCAACATAATGAACTAATATAGGTATAACGCATAATTATTATTAAACCTGTGAACTTTATTGACCTTCATGACAAATCGTTCAACAACTACAATAATTTCATATTCATTTTGTAAAGAAGCATCAAACCACCGCTTCACTTGCATTGCAAGATTTACCAAACACAGTAGTTTTATTATATTACATCAACGCATTTTTTTTTCGTCTACACCGATTTACTTCGTCTACACTGGAATGCCATCGTCAGCCATCAACGCATCGGTTTTCTTTTCATCTCACCTTTGAATCACATTAATCTCGTTTGGTAAACATAATGAACTAATATTAGTATCATGCATAAGTATTATTAAACCTGAATTTATTCGCAAACCGATTATATCACCGGATTTCAGATATCACTTTGCGTCCCGCTAAAAAATTTGCCTAGTGGAAAACGGGCTTTAAACGTGTAATCCCGCGACGTGCTCTTTTTTGACACTGATCGCAATTTTTTTGTCTTCACATACACTGGAATGCCATGGTCACCCCTCAACGCACTTTTTCACAGTCTCATTCTCTATATATTTTCATGACAAATCGTTCAACTAACTCCAATAATTTCATACTCATTTTCGCAAGAAAGCATCAAACAACTGCTTAACTTGCAATGCGAGTTCTACTAAACACATTTTAATTTTACTACGCTATCGTTACCCGTCAACGCTTCGACTTTTTCCTCCCACCTTTGACCCGTATTGACGTCTTATGTATTAAGTATCATGAACATATCACGCATAATACACGTGTGAACAGGCACACTCTTGTGTTTTTTGACACTGATCGCAAATTTTTCGTCTTTACATACACTGGAATGACATGGGCACATGTCAACGCACTTCTTCACATCCTCTGTTGTCTCATCCTCTTTATTTTATTGATTTATATGACAAATAGTTCAAGCAACCAAAATTTCATATTCGTTTTCGCAAGAAAGCATCAACCACTTAACTTGTAATTCGGCTTTTACTAATCACATTTTAATTTTACTACACCATCGTCAACCGCGACAGTGATCGGATTTTTTCCCCCCGCACCTTTGACCCTGCTATGACGTCATTCGGCGAATGTGACACCACCATCATCACGCGCATAAGTATTAGCGCGAAGTTCAAATTCACTCAGTCTGCTCAAACAAGGCTTCGGGTAACATCTCCTTCGCTCCGTCACCACATGTGACGTGTGACCTGTTTACCATTAACTTGATTTAATTAAGTTAATATCTTTAATACAGGTCACATGGCATGCAAACGTGAACCAGCACACTTCCTTTTTTTCACACTGATCTTTTTTTTTTAACAATCTGGACGGTTAATGTTACGGTACCCCCGTCCGTAGAGCATGATTTCTTGCGTAAACAGGATGTGACGTCACTTTTTGTAATACTAAAATATAATAAAAGTGTGCTTGTTCACGCTCCCCCCCCCCAAAAAAAATCACATCTACTACTATACACACTTCTTGTTGTATTAAATAGGCCATGCTAATATTTCTATTTTCATTGACGTTAAGAACGATAAATTTCTAAATAAAGGAATGATTATAATGCTTATAATGCATGTGAAAGTGTACCGCCCTCGGGAGACGTCTGCTATTTTACTGTGAAAATTCCATACTGATTGCATATATTATAATTTTAATATAAAAAATATTTGCATAAATTTTCAATGACGGGCATTCAAGTGTATCAAATTACTGTTACTTAATATGTATAAATGTCACTTTAGAAAGAAACCGAAAACTGTATATTGTGTGGGAGTGATGTTCCAAGTATTGGTCACAGTCTTTTTTAGCGAACTTAAGCAAGCAACATTTTCACTAGGACCGAGACGCTATTTCTCGGTTTGGACTGGGACAAGCATAATTATGCAGGTCTTTCCGCCGTCGTGGTCTTGTCCAAGACCTGAAAATTTTATTTTGACATTGTGGCTAAAACGTGAGTAAATATAATCGTTTTAACCTACTTATGCGTACAATTTTAAAATAATTATTTTTCCTCTGATTGTTTAGAAACGCATTAAAACTAACATGATGGTTTTATAGGTTTTATAAGTACCAGATGGCAAGTGCTGCTTCGAAGTCCATTTGTACAACAACAAAGTAAGTTCAAGCTTTATTCAAATTTTCATTGCGGATAGTCATTTGAATAACTTTTTCTATCACACACGGTTATTCATAATTTTGGTTTATTAAGCAAAAAAAAATTAGTGTTTTCTTTTTGCAATTTGCACTGCACTTTTTATACAGGTAAATTTTTTTACTACAAAGTAGTTTATCACAAAAAAATGACATAAATTTGCTTTTTACAGTCAAAATGGTTTATATACTTTGCCTATAAGATAGTAATAGGAAAACATATGATCACGAGCCTGAATAGTTTTTATTAGCAGGTGATTTTAAGGAAAGTATAAACATATTAAGGACAATCACTTGCAAAACCTGGCATTGTAATTAGGAAATGTACACATCTCTTCTGGAAAATGTTTTTGCCTTTAAAATAGAACCTAACTGCAACAAATGTTATGATACTAAATCCAACTTGTGTCTTATATGATGCCAAATCCTATTGCTTGGATGTCCAAGGCAATGTTCATCTGTCTGGAAAAATCTTCAAAATTGGCAACTTTTTTGGTAGTTCTAAATCCATAGGACATGTATTGGAATTTTGCAAAACACTTTCAATAGTTGTGAGAGTTATCTTGTCAGGTTCATGAAAACCCATTGGTGGTATACTACTTGCACCAGTAGAAAATGCCAACAACTTTTGCAAACCCTTTGCATCTAATAATGTAAAAATTAAGCTTTGGTATATATGTACAATGATATGTTTTTAGCTAAATCAAAACCAATAGTTACGGTACAGAAAATACGTACCCAAGTTATCAATATACTGGTAAAAATAGCCTTTGATTGGGTCATCTAAGTGTGTATGCATCAATAGACTTTTAAACATTTCTGGGGTAAGATCCACATCACCAACATGAACAAAAAAGGGCTTGAAAACATCAGGATGCTTCTGTGCTTCATTTAGTATTGGGCCAAGACCTTGATCAAATTGATCAAGCTCAGCTTTACATATTAAAATCACTGTGTTCAGCATTATGCTTGTGATTGCTTCAAGTTTATTCTCTTTGGTGATTTTTTTAGTAAAACCAATTTCCACAAGTGCATCAAGGATTTGATCAGGAATATTTTCAAAGTTATCTAAGGAATCAATCTGTAACAGAAAATGAAATACTTTTTGATAAAACATGTGCATATAAATGTGTATTGGTTGACAATTGAACTTAGTGATTAATGCTGATGAATCCCTACCTGTGTTACAATATCTCTAATATCTATGTCTGCTATATCCTCCTTCACAATGTCAATATCCTGACTTAAGCCTGAAATTAGGTATGAATAGATTGCAGGGGATAAAAATGGAAAACCTGGACCTCCATTCAAAATGGATGTTGCAATAAAGACTGGCCCTTAATGCATCTTGTATTTGATTACACACACACACACACACACACACACACACACACACACAACCACACACACACACACCAATACCCACCTTTACCCACTTATGGGGGCACTTACTTATGGGGACACTGCTTATTTATGTAGGCACTGATTTTATACTTGGTCAGTAGATTGCCTACAGTACCTAAATGATACTTGTGACATAAAATCATGATTTATAACACATTTTGAACACACGGATTTGTGGGGACATACTTGTGGGGACAAAGTGTGTACTGACTAGTGGGGACAGGTGTGTATTCATATTTGTGGGGACACTTAGTGTATTATGTTGTTGGCCAATTCTAAATGTAAAAACTTGTGGGGACGGTGTGTGTTGTGCTTGTTAGATGAATGATTAGTTGTGTTTCTTTCCATTTTTTAGGGTAATGACTAAAGGGTCAAGAATGAAGCAAATTAGTAACTATCCAGTTCTCAATATTCAGTTGTTTTCGAGAACAAGTCACAATGTTTAAGATTTACTGTGGCCCATTCTTCACTGAAAAGGAGGCACAATACCGTTGTTTAAAGGTCGAGAAGTTTTCTGTTTTTTAAGGTCGTTAAAGGAGCAATAGATTGTAGTTATTTCTGCTTTTTGGAGAATGACAGGGAAAAAAACTTAGGTGTCTTGTCAAGTTTAACAATTATTATATAATAATGATTTCCTGAATAGTCTAGTTTATTTGTGTATCTTGCACATCTGCCTCGATTGATAGAAGTGGACATAGTCATATAATTCGTGTACAATGACCGTAAAAACAATCGACTTCAAAAGAAATGAATAATGTACAGGACAGCACAATTTCATAAATATGTTCTCTCCCCTCACCAGGGAATGTAAATATATTTCACCATGTGGGCGAAATATTTTTAATGGCCCTATATTTAAAGAATCAAAATTGTGTCCCCACAATCCCAGTGTGTAATCATAACCGTGTCCTCGCAAATCTGTGTGACATACCTATACATAGCTCAACTGTATATTTAGTCTGGAGATGTCGCTTCTAATTTGATGAAATGCTACTCAATAAAGGTCCATCCATTTCGATGTATCTATTGGCCTTCAATAAGAACTATATTTGAATATTTTTTACAAAATTCGTTTTTCTTGTGGTATTTCCATTCTCAGAGTCAAGCTAGTGTCTGACCATAAATGTGTCCCAAGCGATGTGTATATTGGACCATTAATTTTATGTGGTGTCCCCACAAGTTCAGTGCGCAGTCAATAGTCTAATCATATTCCTGTCCCCACAAATTCAGTGTGCAATCAATAGTCTAATCATATTCCTGTCCCCACAAGTCAGGTGCGCAGTCAATAGTCTAATCATATTCCTGTCCCCACAAGTTCAGTGTGCAATCAATAGTCTAATCATATTCCTGTCCCCACAAGTCAAGTGTGTAGTCAATAGTCTAATCATATTCCTGTCCCCACAAGTCAAGTGTGTAGTCAATAGTTGCCGCAGCGAGCGAGCCTTCAGCGAGCGAGCGAGGCAGCAGATCTAATTGCTGCCGCAGCGAGCGAGCCTGAAGCGAGCGAGCAAGGCAGCAGACCTAATTGATGTAGTTGGGAATTTTTTAAATTTTGCCTTATCGCATTGCATTGTGGTCAATTTTTAGTTAGACCCACAATGCTATGCGTGAATCAACTTAAAAACAGGTAAGAAATTTTGTACAGCTTATTAAATATCGACATTAATAATCGGGACTGCAGGTTATAGATATTTTACTGAGTTAGCCGTGAGGCCATGTGAGGCAGACGGCATCGTTGTGACTTTTATTGGTCAAGCTGTTTGTTCAGTCTTTGGCGTTTTGGTCCTTGGATTGTGCTCGCATGACGCATCACTGTTGTATAAACGGACACGAAAAGCGACGTGGTGAACCATACCGTTCGGTTCCTTGGAGAAGTGTTTTCACTATTTTGGCAGTTGTTATGTGCAATCAATAGTCTAATCATATTCCTGTCCCCACAAGTCAAGTGTGTAGTCAATAGTCTGATCATATTTCCTGTCCCCACAAGTCAAGTGTGTAGTCATATCCCTGTCCCCACAAGTCAAGGGTGTAGTCAATAGTCTAATCATATTCCTGTCTCCACAAGTCAAGTGTGTAATCATATTCCTGTCCCCACAAGTCAAGTGTGTAATCATATTCCTGTCCCCACAAGTCAAGTGTGTAGTCAATAGTCTAATCATATTCCTGTCCCCACAAGTCAAGTGCATGTGTAATCATATTCCTGTCCCCATAAGTCAAGTGTGTAATCGTATTCCTATCCCCACAAGTCAAGTGGGTAGTCAATAGTCTGATCATATTCCTGTCCCCATAAGTCAAGTGTGTAATCATATTCCTGTCCCCACAAGTCAAGTGTGTAGTCAAGTGTCTTATCATATTCCTGTCCCCACAAGTCAAGTGTGTAGTCAATAGTCTGATCATCATGATTCCTGTCCCCACAAGTCAAGTGTGTAGTCAATAGTCTGATCATCATGATTCCTGTCCCCACAAGTCAAGTGTGTAATCATATTCCTGTCCCGACAAGTCAAGCGTGTAGTCAATAGTCTAATCATATTCCTGTCCCTACAAGGCAACCAATTTAACAAAATCTTTAAACAACCCGACCTACAAAAACGATACTCAATGCGTCGAATTTCAAACGGCCAAATTGATATTTTGTCTTTATGAAATTAAATGGTCAATAATTTAAATGCGGATTTCAGCTTACTCAGTTGGTGGCCGATCATGCAACCTGCACTTGTAGGAAACAAAGTCTATACTAAAATCCGTTAGAAATAAAACATTGAACATGCCAGTCCCCAGTATTATGTATTACAAATTCCAAACGTAGACGAAAATAGACAATTTAGCATGACCACGTGAACTTCAAAGATGACGTGAAAATGGCTAATAAATTGCGTGATGCGCCCATATATGGAATACCACGCCATTTTGCTAAATCTCTCTAAAATAATCCTTGTATAATATGAATACAAGAAACACAAGCAATCATAAGAGAAAAAAATATGTGAAACCATATATATTTGAGAAAATCGAAAACTCATAAACTAATAACATTGATGATAACAAATGACATTTATAAATATATCAACGTGTTTATCAGTAAACTGGAAGACATAATACAGACGTACTTATATTACAGTGCTTTTATATAACTAAGTCTCTAAAACAGAACAATGAATCGAATAAGTTATATAAACTGAAATATGCATAAATATGGTTATATCAATCAACTCAGGAAAATTATTCATAGGACAGGTTTCTTTTGTCTACGAGTTCTCGTCCAGAACTAAACACTCGTGAATAACTTTCTTGAATGCTGCATTTATATGTCAGTGACATACGTCATAACTCATAAGGAATTTTTTAAAGAAATTGTATTAAAACGTGGAAAGAAAAGATGGATTAATGATTTCGTTTCGATTGGTTTGATTTTGACGCCATTTTGCTATAGAAACAATAGCAATGTCAAAACGATTTTTTTATTCCTAAAAAGTTCAACATTGGCCTGAGGTAGAAAAATGAAGATCTGAAAAAATAATCACGACCTGGGCTGTCGCAGATAGGGGGGGGGGGGTGCCGACCTAAATTTTGCGAATGGAACCGAATATTTGGCGATATGTACCAGGGGCCGCCGGCTCTCTCAGGCATATTAAACGCCGCAGAAATTGGTGTTTAATCCCAAAATCGTATCACCGGTTCACAATTGTGCATTTCTGTATGGTTGCCAAAGAGATTACTGTCGAATAAGTTAATACAAGCTCGATTTCTTTCTGAATACCCATTCTACAATATTTTAACAGCTAATCATGCACATCCGACAGCTGTGAAATAGCCATTTTAAAGTGTCAGGCTTCATATCTTCTGTGCAAGAGATTTTTGTTAAGTATATATAAATCTTTTTGCTCACCAAATTTGAAGTCTAAGTGTTAAGAATTGCAGGAAAGTCTATACAAATTTCGCGCGGTGTCGACATTATTAGCACAGAGTAGAAAAATTGATGACATAGATACAGAGGTGTAACTAGTGTACCTACTTTTTTTGAGCGCGGGCTTGGGTGGGTCAGTAAAAACACTAACTAAACGCTTGCCAAGGCACTTGCTGAGCATGCGCAGTTGATAATTTTTTGCCTAGCGCGTGAAAAAATGTGGGTGCATAAAAACGCCACTTTTAATTACTGAGCGCAAGCTAGTTACAGGTCTGTATCTATTATCTGCTCTGTGATATTAGGGAGCTTTAGCAGCGACTACGAGTAGGAGATTCGTAATTCTCGCATGTTGTTTGCATAAACCATCAGCCAAAACTCGTAGTCGTCGAGCTTTTGAGTACGAGTTTGTTGGTCGTACTGATAAAGTTGCATGAACTTATCACTTTAATATCATAAAACACGACCTTTACGCACATAATATCATCACTCGGTAATCACAATAATAATATAACTGGAAATGATTCTCGACTGTGATTGGTTGGTTTCAGTGCAATTAATCTGAAACAGCAGTGCAAAAATCTGTAACAACAGTGCAAAAATCTGTAACAAACGTATCTGATTGGTTGAAATAAAGAAAATAGCCAATCAAATTTCCCGAAAAATTCCCGCGAAAATCCATTCAAAGATTGCAAATGCAAAGATTTCGAAACATTGAGGCAAGTACAATACAGGAGTTACAAAATAATGCAAAAAAAAAACGCAACAAGTCGCACCAATTTTTGGCTAAGCGTTTTTAAGACCTGGGCAAAACAGAGGATTTTTGGAGGAAATTGAGTTGTTGATGTTGTCATATTTTGTCTCGATTTCCAGTCATATCATTTCACGTAATAGTATGGTTTCTCGTGCAATTATATTATACCCAAATTGCACTCGAAACCATACTATTACCTATAGTCATAAAACACGACCTTTACGCACATAACATCATTGGAAGTGAACTTAACAAATTTTATGTTATTAGCGGAATTCCACTTATCTTTTTCTTTTTTGTCTTTTTGTTATTTCGTTTTTAACCCAGTACTTAATTGCCTTCCAATCCCGGTTTTTCAACACCCCCTTCGCCTTCACAATGCATTCCTCGCACTCTCTCTTATTTGGCACCCTTCCCTCCCGAACCAAATGTGCCAACTCGCCCAAAACGCATCTTCTCTCCTCATTCGTCCATGATTTATGAACTAT